TTGGAGTAGGGAAAAATGTATTTGGAGTGTACTGATGCAGATCTGCTGGTAACAGCAAGAAGTAAAAGCTGTAGTAGGGACCATCAGAGAGTTCTGTGTCTGTTACACCACCCAGGACCTGGGATTACAGCGGTGCGTGAGAAGGACACATTTCCAGTGTCAGTCTTCTTTTATGCTCACACACAAGGTAAATCTGGGGAACTGTTTAGAAATTGTTCTACAGCAAACACCTCAGAAGCCAGCTCACGTGAAGGAAATGCCCAGTCTTAATTCTCTGTGATATCATACTCAACAATTGTCAGGAGCGAGTAGAAAAACACGCTCCAGACTGCAGAAGCACAGTATATCCCAGTACTACAGAAGGAGCATTACCTACAACATCAGAAATGCAATGTGGTTTATACAGCTGATTTCCTCCCATACTGCATGGATTCCTAAATCCTGCAGGATACCTGGGCTGTGGGCATGTGTACTTCTGCAGCTGTGTGGGCTGTACAAAGGGACAAGGGACTTAATGGGGCATATAGGGATGCTGGGGAGGGACTCTTCATTAGGGACTGTAGTGGTAGGACAAGGGGTAATGGGTTAAAACTTAAATGGGGGAAGGTTAGATTGGATATAAGGAAGAAATAAATTCTTTCCTGTTAGGGCGGTGAGGCACTGGAATAGGTTGCCCAGGGAGGTTGTGAATGCTTCATCCCTGGCAGTGTTCAAGGCCAGGTTGGACGAGGCCTTGGGTGATATGGTTTAGTGTGAGGTGTCCCTGCCCATGGCAGGGGGTTGGAACTCGATGATCTTAAGGTCCTTTCCAACCCTAACTATTCTATGATTCTATGATTCTAAGGTGCATGTGTTAGAGCTTTGTGCAGAAATGATCCTATACTTAGCCAAGGGGGTAAGAATGAGAACTGGAGTGGTTTTAGAGAAGAAATACATCAAACTAGGAAAGTTCTGGTGATTCTGTTTGTAGCTCTTAATAATTAGCTGTTTCTACCTTTACAATTAATTCTTTGTCACTATTACTACAAACGCTTTCAATTTCCTCCATGTCTCCCAATGGACTCCAGCTCATTAATATGCAGCTTTAAGCTAACATTGGAGCTGTCATGCATTTCAAATCTCCCCAAGGAAGCTTTTTAAAATTGTAAGTAAGACCCGATACTGAGACTTATTAGCACCAAACTTGGAAACAAAGCTTCTGTGCAGGCAGTGATGACTCTTCAAGTTACAGCTGCTGTCACCTTTTTTATCCTGAGATTGGTACAAATGGGAATACCCCAAAGGACTTCTTGGATGCAACCAACATTTCCAGCTCTCAGATTGTGGTTTATGGGTAGAAGTGGGCTTGTGCTGGAAACTCAGGTTTGAGTGATGAAGCTGAACTTCTGGGTCAGATTTAATTGCACCCATGCTGAGATAAAGTCAGAAGTCCATTGGAAGTGGTAGAGTGATAGTGCACCACCACAAACATACTGTGGTATGATGGAGAAACTAAAGTTTGCGTACTAGCTAAAAGATGGGTCACAACAGTCCACAGAGGTGCAATACCTAGGTCAAGAGCAAATTCCATCCTCAGCGCTTTGAGACCAGCTTTTGCTTGAACCTGCAATAATTAAGCCTGCATCTAAGGCTTTGGCTCCTGTCCACTCACTTATAAATGCCTGAACAGCCCTTATTTTTTCAGTTCTGTCTGGAATGAAGAATAACAGTTAGTCTAATTTCTGAACCTCTAGCATAAGGGATTTGCCAGGGCTAAGGTTAAGGCAGATTCCTGTTACTAACAGTTACAATGACAGAAGCAATGTATAAACTTGAAATGGAGAGGCAGCTGCAGAGCTGCCTGTCATTGGTGTGTGGGTGATTCTGCTAACTAATCACCTTCCCTTAGTGACACCCGGGGCAGGAGGGGCTGTGAGAGGAAACCTTATCAACTTCTACACAAGGGTACCTAAAGGGAGGGGGAAAGCTGCTCTTCCACGTTTTCTGAAGAGGAAGGGTTCTTAGCAGAGCTTCTTGCTGGAGTGATATTATATCATCCTTTACTTTGTCCACCACAAAATAGTAAGAACTGGAGAGATTTTAGCACCAAAATCTTCACACTGGAGAATTTGGAATACCTCAGCTTCCAAAAAAAAAATAAAAAAATCAAAATTCAATAAATCCTTTCTTGAATGACCTAAACCATCAGTAAATACTGACACATGTCAGGAGGGAGAGCTGATCCAACAGCGACAGAGCCATAGCCCAGGCTTGGCCGGTGAAGTCCTGCTGGACTGCAGGCTGCAAGAGTGCCACCTTCTTAACAGTTCCCCAAACCTGAGGGGTGAGAAAATGGATACTTGCTTCTCAGATTCTTCAGGCTCACATGACAATTTCACCACATCCTGAGGTCCTATTTCCTGACTAGAGGTGCTCTTCCTTTTCACCAGACACGACCCTACTTTGCCATCAGGTAAGGACTGAGAAAGCCACGGATATCCTCCTCAGGATCCTGCTTTGTGGATGGGATCCATTTTTGTTCCCCACAGGGCTACTCCATCTGCTCCAGTGCCCCTTTGCCAGAGACCACCTCTCTCTGCCATGCTGCTGGCAGGCACCCTGAGTATGAACCCAGGTCGTGCAGGCTGCTGCTGGAGCCTCACCCAGCCTGGCAGGAGACAGGAATGAAAGGAAGCGATTCCAGGTGGGCAGGAGGTGGCTGAGAGCACCACAGGCCCAGCTCCCCGGGGGAGCATGGCATACCTCAGCACAACAGCAGGATCTGATGCCCATGGGAGCAGCTGGGCCGACGAACCGTGTTGCTGTGCCCTGCCGGAAAGCAACATCTCCAGCCCTAAAGCCCCATTAGGTCTTCAGCCCTGCAAGAAGGCACACTTTGACGGCCCTCTGCATCAGCGCCTGGAGGAGCCCGATCCCCTCCCCAGGGCCGACAGGAGGAGGGGCTGCCGCAGCACCCTGCTAGGGACGCCGTGCCCCGGCGGCGCTGGCTCCTCTCCCGCTGCCCCCGAGCGGTGCCGGGGTTGCTGCGGCCGCCCCTTGCCCCTTGCCCCTTCCCCGCCGCACGCTCAACCCACGGGCACCACCTCCCGCCACCGCCCAACCGGCCCCCGGCAGGCACCGTGTGCTGCCGGCAGAGGGCGCCCGCTGCCCGCCAACGCCGTGTGGCCGCGCGTCCCGTCCCGCCCCGCCCCGCCCCTCAGCGCCAGCGGCGCCGCTCGCCCGTCCCGGGCCCGGGGGGCTGTGGGGGGGCGGATGCCGCGGTGTTGGGGGGGGGGGGGGGCTCGGCCGGGCCGTCCCCGTGTGCGGGTTGGGAGTTGCGGGCACGCTGAGCGAGCTGCTGCCCCTTGCCCGTAGGAAGGCTATCCATCCTCTGCCGAGGCATGCCGTCGCACGCAGGGTGGTGATCGCTGGCAGAGCAAATGCGGTTAGGCGGGCACAGCCAGCAGCTTGGTAATTAAAGGTCTGCTGGAAAACAAAGCAAATCTGCCAGCTCGCCGCCGGAATCGCTGAGCTCGGAAAACGGAGCAGTTACACACAGCGGTGTAAGCGGTGCGTGGCTGCCTCCGGAGCATACCTGCCCTGCACTGCTGAGCGCTTGCACGGCGTGCTCCTGCACTACCTTGCCATCCCCATCACGTCTGTCTACAGAGCAAACCACGGGAGCTCTGCGTGCGGGCTCCCCTGAAGCCCATTCCCGTACAGTAGGAGCCGGGGTGCATCGCCTTTGTTTGCCTGTTGGGTCAGCTTTTTGGAGGCACCTCTATAATAAGGCACTGCTGGTGCAGGCTGGCTACCTTGGGTGGCATCGCTTGTGCTGGCTTCAGGTGAAGGCTTTCTTAACCAGACAAGGAATGTCTGTTCCACTCTAAGGGTGACAACCTGGTGAAGTTGAAACACAGAAGAGCATCTTACACCTCTTTACCACCGGCAGGGTGTCTGTGAAAGCAGAGAAGCACTGAGGGATTCCTTGCTCAGTGATGCAGTGGGCTGGTTTTGTTTCCTCGCGGCTGTTACAGCCCAGGTACATTAGGAATGCTGGAAGCATGCATTTATATGGAAGTAACAATAGGAGGTTGGAAAGGTGGAAGCAAGTCCCCTGTGTGTTCTGCTCTTGCAATTGCATCAACCCATCCATGTTATGACCCTATCAGGGGATCTGGCATTTAGCTCTTTATTGCATCCATTTCTGAGAAAATGGGCAACTTGTTTTGAGGAGGAAGATTTATTAGAGATTTGAAATAAAAGAGGATATGTAACCAGATACACATGACCAGCAAAAAAGAAATCATAATTAGAAGGGAAAGATTAATAGGGACACAAGTCTGCAGAATTTCATTGTTAAGAGATCAATTTATTATGCCCTTGACTGCAAGTTAAATTAGTACACGTAAAATTGCAACATGGAAAAGATATGCCAGTGACTATCATAAATACAGCTTGCTTTTCTTTCCTAGTTATTTAGGGAGGACTGGGAACGCTTGTGAAATCATGTTCATTAAAGCCCTGAATAGAGGCAACTAACCAATAACTGCGGTGGAAGCAACAAGGTTCCCCCACCCTTTGCAAGGAGAGGGGGGAAATCACAGACGTCAATCAAGAAACACTGCAAAATAAGATGGACCCTCCCGGCAGGCGCGGCACCGCGCAGACCTGCGGAGGGGCTCTGGCACTCTGCTCGCCGCCGGCCTTGCAGCTCCGCCGCTGACCGAGCGGCGCACGGGGCTCCTCCGCCCGGGGCTTCCCTCCCTTACAAAACTGTCAGGCACAAATGGGCAGGAGGATATTGGCTGCAAGGGACGCGGAGGCTCCTCCCAGAGCCTGGATCCCGATATTTTGGGAGGATTTCTTTTAACTCAGTTACAAACCTCGGTGAAGGAAACAAGTTGCTGCTGTAGCGGAGGCAGACAAGCGCCTCTGCTAGGGAGAGCGCGGCTCCCGCTTTCACCTTCCCAGAGCTACCTTGGATGCTCCGCCTGGCTTACAGAGGAGACCTGTGCTGCCTGTGGGGGGAACGCTACTGCTCGGGATGCTGCTGCTTCTGCGAAAACAAGGGTTGTAAGGGAATGAGAGGGAAGACAATGAGGAAAAACCGACGGGGAGAGAGCCTCAGCCCCGAGCATTTTCCCGAGAACTGACGGTGTTTTGGGGCCGAGCGATCCCGTCGGAGGCGGCGGAGGGAGCTGCCCTGCCCGCTCCGCAGGGGACTGCCCGGGACCGGCTATTCCCTTCGGATGCGGACTGCCAAACCTGTGGGAAATTCTCCCGCCGCGCTGCGAAGCCACCATGAATTCAGTGGCTGGAAATAAAGAGAGGATCACGGTCACGGCGCGGAGCAGAAAATACGGGGTAAGTTATGGGCGGAGGGGCGGCTCTAGCCGTGGCCGCCGCCGTGTCAGGGCTCCCGCGCCCCTAGCCCGTCTGTTACCGGTGCCGCTGGCTATAGGCTCCCCCCGACCCCGCTCAACTTCCGCGGTGCGGGGCGGCAGGGAAAGGGCGAGGCGCGGGGCCGCCGCGGGCGCGGAGCGTCCGGGAGAAACTTGTCGCTGCCGCCGGGCCTCCCTGCCTGACCCGCTGCTCCTTCTCCCGCTCCAGGTGACCGACCCCTGCTCCCCCACCAAGTCCGCCGTCCCCTTCTCCCCCGAGAGCTGGTACCGGAAGGCGTACGAGGAGTCCCGGTCTGGGAGTCGCCCGGCGCCGGAGGGAGCCGGCTCTGCCCTGGGCTCCTCCGGCACGCCGTCCCCCGGCTCCGGCACCTCCTCGCCGGGCTCCTTCACCGGCTCGCCGGGACCCGCCTCGCCCGGCATCGGCACCAGCTCCCCTGGCTCCCTGGGCGGCTCGCCGGGCTTCGGCACCGGCTCGCCGGGCTCCGGCAGCGGCGGCGGCTCCTCGCCGGGCTCGGACCGCGGCGTCTGGTGCGAGCACTGCAACGCCCGCCTGGCGGAGCTGAAGAGGCAGGCACTGAAGCTCCTCATCCCCGGGCCAGTCAGCAGCAAGGTGAGTGAGGGGCCGGGGCGGAGCGGAGTGCGGGGAATGGATCCCGGTGCCGCCCGGGAGCGGTGGGAGCGGAGCCCAACAGCCGGTCAGGCTGCCGGCCAGCTAGGCTCCTCTCTGCCGGTGTCACCGCTGAGGGTTGTCGGGTTTACTTGGGTTCTCCCCTTCTTGGTCGCTTTTTCTGCCCCTTCCTTCTGCTTCATATGGAGCAGAGAAAGTGGCCATTTGTGACAGTCCCTCAAGCTTGCGCTGTCCCGTCTCCCTCTTGCACTGACGGTGGTTTTATGTTGTTATTTCCTGTGTATTTCTTGTTCCCAGTAAGGGGCAAGCAAGGGTGGGAATGACACATGGGAATCATTAGTCTCCCCCCTCTTGTTGTCTTCGATCCCTACAGGATGGATTTAAAAAAATGTCCGGAGATTTGCCATCCAACTTAGTGGTAAGGTATCTACAGTCAGATGCCTGCGGCTTGTACTTCCATCGGGCGGGGCCAGGTGCAGGAGACACCCTCCTATAGCCCCGGGTTCAGACAAGGCATCGAAATGCTGTGTGAGCCCAGAGGTCACCCAGGAAGGCTTTGGTATACCATGGCATTGAACCCAGATCTCCAGGGTGCCATTAACACAGGGACAAGTTGGTGATGTTTTTCTCTTAGAGAAGAGCTAAATTTTATTATTTATTTATTTATTTTTTTAATATGACACTTGATACTTGAAGCTGCTGGACCTCAAGTATTGGACTGAATAATCTCATGCCCAGAGAGCATGTAAGCATTTCTGAAATCTGGTCTCAGGTTTTAAAGCTGACTGATCATGGATAGAGTTGTAAGTCTGCTTTCTACCTCTGTTGAGGAATCTGGTATGGTACCTCCAAAGGCATACTTTGACATTCCTTAGGTTTTTGTTTTCACTGTTTATTATGCATATAAAGATTAAGGGTAACAGCCCTAAAAGAGTGACCAGCAGCCCTTGGCTGACCCTGTACTACGAAAATAGTAAGCTTTGGGTTCCTCCATAGCAACCCTGTGAGCACTGTATTGTGAATGGATATACAGCTCCCAGAATGTAATACAATGCAATTTTGTTTGCCCTGTTGGGTCCAGGTACTATCAAATGATAATATTTACTCTTCCACTTCAAAGAGTTTTCATTACTGGTGGCGATAAAGAGGTATCTTGGAAAAGAGCAGGCTGAAAAGGGGTCCCTGGTATTGCTGTTGTGTTGTATTCTCCACTGTTTGTTTGTGCTGTTTGAGAGGGAGTTGGTGCTCTCTGAAACAAAAGACTCACAGGCTGGTCATTACCTTGTCTCAAGAGCAGATTTAACTGAATTTTCATGGAAAGGGAAAGGTGGAAGCACCACTATTAATAGTCATTTTAACCATATTAATACATGGTTGGTTCCCTGGAAAATGGCCCTGTACCAAATTCCTCACTATTCTCAGGCTGTGTGATTTGACAGTGATTACCAGCTGCAGGTATAGGTGGGAAGTTACTGGTACAGATATGGGAGCCATTGGAATAACTGAGACTGGGTGTGGAGGGAGGATGAAACATAACCATTAAGGCTTTGTTTTAAATACAAATTGACAGATTTTGCAGTCATGTAAAGATTTGTACAGGCTTGTCTTAGTGTTATAGTGGTAGTTGCCCTTCCTAAGGTGCTACCCTTGTGCTACTATTGGAATTTGTTCTGTTTGCATAATTTAGGCAATGGTGTTGTACAGGTCGGTCCTTATCCATGGCAGTATTAAGCCTTACTTCTCTGCTTTTAGCCCCCTTATCTGTGTTCCTTTTTTATTCTTGCACCTCCTTTCCAAACCTTCCAGTTCTATAGGACAGCCACTTGCATGCATTGGGTAGCAATGGTTTTGTATTTAGGTTGAAGGAAGGAGGGCGACGGTGACTTTCTGCCCTATTTGCTGTTCTTAATAGTACTTCCAGGCTCAGTCCTGCTGAGGTACCCCAGCTTCCTGCACACAGTTCGCTTCTGTGGTTAGGTGCTACCTGGCTGTGATTAGTTGCAGGGACATCAGGAACATCCCTTTCTCTCATCCTTTCTGGGTTATTTACAACTGTTAAAAACTTCCTGGGCTTGTGATTTCTGGCTTCAGCAGATACTGTCTGGAACAGAGAGGCTTCTGTCTAGGTGATATGGGATACAAATATCATGGCTAGTGCCAGGTAGGGTTATCAGTGTCTGCTGAGGGAAGCAGGATGTTAGTGTGAGCTTTGCTAGATCGTCCAGGCCCTGTGAGCTGCCTTTTGCAGATATGACACAATAATGCTATGGGGTCACCCTCTGAGAAGAGATGTATAGGATTTCTTGCAAGAATGTGGAACACTGTCATGTGTTGGGAAGACTTACCTTGGTTTGGGTTGAGGCTGGGGTCTATCACGCTATGTTAATGTAACTGGAGTTTTAAGGGTCCTGTAAGGTATGCTCTTGATTGCTGCTACAAGAACAGGGGTTTGTGGGTTTCTTTTTGATAGAATTGATTCTGCCACTGAGCTCAGTGGAAGGAGAGGATCATCTTTGTAGTTCTAGGTATTTCCTCAGAACTTGCCAAGCATCTCGCAGCTCAAAGCTGTGGTGCCCAGTAGGACACAGCTAATTGGTGATATATGCCTTTATTAGAACAATTAAATGGAGCATTTAAAGCACATTTGTCATCTTCTGGTCAGCCAGATACAGATAATTACATGATTTTTGTTGATGCTGTTGAAGCCTAGAAATTTCATTAGCATTATAAATATAGTCTGTGGCACCTGTTTCACATTTGCAATGCTTTAAAAAAGCATATAACCTGGGGTATTATGTGTTGCAGAACAAGCAGAATATGGGGGTATCTGTGTTTTGACATGTATCTAGTAGCAGATATTGGAGTCTGTGGTAACCTACCCAAATGTGAACCTACATTGACATTTCCTCCAGTGTGCAATCATGTAAAGGTTTGTGTATACCAGTGGTGTAGTAGTATACTTAATTGCTGCATAAACAGACCAGGCTTTATGCGTGAAGCTATGTACTGAAGCTTTTATTTGGTACAGAAAAAGCCACACTTAACCTAGAGCGAACTGCTTCTGACTGGCTCATTGTTAGTGTTGAGCTTTCAGTTTTAAATACAAGCATTCTCTCCTGCGTGTCAACAGGATGGAAACTTGGGACTTTTTTAATATATGCCTCACCTTTGTGCCTCGAAACAGATAGTTGTGTTGCTTTATTTTACCCATTTCAAATGCCAGGTTCCCTGCCAATTACAAAAAGAAAAAATGCTTGTTTCTTTTTTCCTCTCTTGTGATAGAGGTGACTTAATGATGTACAGCATTTTTGTGCATACAAGAGGTTATGTCTTGTGAGAATTACATCTTACTGTACCCCCATGTGAAGCATGTTTACAGGAAATGACTAACACAGGTGATTGTTGTAGTTGCACGTTGCAGTTTGTAACAGATTATCATAGGGCATTTGCTGACCCTTGTTTATGTTTGTTTTTTTATTTTGTTACAGTGTCTAACAGTTGCATGGTGATAAGGATTGTCTCAAATTACTAATATTGATTAAAAAATAGCTTTTTCATAGGCTATTTTATCAGAAGCGCATCAGACAAAGTTCTAGCATAGAAGTCAATGGCATCACACTCCCTGTTTATCAGAATTTGTGTGCAATCTGGTTGCCTCGAGTTCAAACCTGTGATATCCTCTGGCTTCAATGGAACACTAATCTTGCAGGCATCTGACAAAAGAAAAAAATCATTAAGGTTAATTCATGTGTATCAAATTATATTGTGTGTAAATAATCAACTGAACGCTAATAAGGATCTTCTCAAGCTGGCAATTACAGACTTGTTAGTATGGGAGTCCAAAAATCCTGCATATAGCCTTTAAACCATGAGGTAATTTGAATGTATAGACATGAATAGCAGCTTGGGCATGTTGTTGTGTCAGGAAGTAAGGGTACAATTATAAATCCTAGAGATGGATAGCACTGATGTTGCTAGGTGGTTTATATTCTGGACTATCCACTAGGTAAAAAGTCTGTGCTGCTTAATATGAGAATTGGGTAAATTCTGGTTTAGAACAGTGTATCTGTGAAGAGGAAGAAAAGGGTACAGTTTTGTTTTCCTTTTTCATAAACGCTCTATCTCCTTTTTGCTTGTGTATTGTTGAATTAGCTTTTCTATTTCAGAGGTGTTCAGTAGTCAAAGACTTGACTAATAATTATTAACAGTGATGAAAACCCTGAAGCTGATGTAGTGAAAAACAGGTTCCTGTTGGCTTGTAGCTACTTTAGACATTCCCAGTAGAGACAGGACAGTAATGAATCCTTCCTCAAAGCTCAGCAAGTGGCAGAATAACGGAATTTCATTTCCGTCCAGGCCTTTAATTTGTGAACAAGCACAGTCAGTCTGTATGGTGACTTAATTCACTGTGCGAAAGCTCAGGCACCTAATCATTTCATCCCAACTCATTGTAATGCAGATAGGATTATTGCATTAGAAATGTGATTTTAAATGGCCTGAGGCAGTAACTTGTCAGCATTTGGAAGGATTAACTCCATTAAAGTTTAGACAACAACAACCATTCTTTTGTGTTTCATCACAGGTCACAATAGCAAACTTTTAGCCTAATTCTGTCTGTGAATCTTCTTACAATTGTATGTTTCCAGGAAACCACAAGCTGCTTCACTTGGCCAGGAATTAGAGCTGCTTACAGAGGTCTAGAGGAGAGGAACGGATATGCCTTCACCTCT